AAGGCCCCTCTGTCTGATTTTTTGTGTTCCTTTCCATGCAATATTCCATTTTTCAGGGACTCCTGACCTTCTGTTTATCCTTTTCAGGGCTGCTGTGAGAAAGAAGAGTACGGAAGTTTCTTTAGTCAGCTCAGTTGCTCACACCTAGCTCTGCAGCCAACCCATGGAAATCAGTGGGACTTAGGTTAGACACAACTAATTGATTTAAATGCGTCTACTAAGTATAGTTAAGTCTAGATCCAAGCTGATGTTTGCTTCCGATCAAAAGCCATTGTCCTCAAAGTTCAAACCCTCTTTATAGGAAAGCAGACAGTCTCATGTTTCCTTTCACCCGGACCACCAGTCTCCATTTTTCAGTTAATTCTTTAAGATGAATGGATCCACTGACATGGACTGGGCAACCCAAGAATTCATTCTGGTCATCAGTCTCTACGTATTTATGGTATTGTTTTCAGTTCCTGATCTAGACAGATCCTGGAGTGGGGAACAATAAAGAGATAAGACCAATAATAAAAGTGATGCACTGAAAGCAAGATAACATTAAACCTTGGCTGGTCAGCAAGGAAGCCTTTTTAAAAAAAGATCCTGAAAACAAAGATACAGCATTAGATACCTCCTGACCTTCAGAGACAGGGAGTTCTGAAAAAGTTGAGTCACTACACTAAAGGATCTTCTCTTGGTGGACTCCAATCAGGCCATAAGTCCATGTGGAACCACCAGGAGGCTAACCTCTGATGATCTCAGTGGCCAAACAGGATGCTAAGGGACAAGGTGCTCTCTCAAGTATTTTGGTAGCAGGCTGTTGGGGGCTTTGTACCCTAGTACCAGAACCTTCAATCTGGCCAGGTAGTGAATAGGTGATCGCTAGAGTTCCTTCTGCAAAGGAATTGCAAGCTGAAAAGGGGTAGCCCCCGACAACAGCTGAGCTACTGCATTCTGCACTAGCTCCAGCTTCTTGAGCAGCTTTAAGGGCAGCGCCACACAGAGTTCATTGAATCTTGAATTTACTGGTGCCTGTATCACTGTGCTACACAGTAGGGAGGACTGCAAGCTCCATGTCCTGTTCGGTAGTCTTCCATCTCATTCTAGACATCTGTTTCCTTGATGGCAGTTTACCAAGCAGCAGAGCAGGATCTACAGTACAAGAGAGGGCATGCAGATACAATTGAGTCTCTGGCCATCCTCATGCTTCCACAGCAAGAAAAGGCCCTCAGCAGGATCACCACCTCTATCTGTTGAATCTCCAGGAGCATTCAGAAATCCTGTTTCTGCTGGGATGGAGCATCCAAATGAGGTCCCCACTCTTTCAGGAGGGGAAGAATGCTGCAAGTTCAAATCTCACCAGGAAATGGTCTGACCATGACCATGGGATTATTTGGACCCCAGCCCCCCAAATTTTCAGGCTGCTCCTCTCACACCTTGTAGCATCAAGGATATGCCCCTGTTGAGCCAATGACAAGCTGAGACAGCCCAATGGATGTCGTGGAGGCCAAGAAGTCCCAAGCTGGGCCCCAGAGGCAGTCTCAACATGAAAACTGAAGTCACTCAGGACCACTGTCCTGGGTTCCTCCAGCACCCACATCTCTGCTACCTTGGTCAGGGAGAATACCAAGCAGCAGTGTGGGTGGTACACCAGCAGTATCCCCAACTGTCTCTATGGCCTGACACCAAGCAAACTCATCAAGGTCCACTCCAACATGATGTGATTTTCTGGCAACAGAGATGGGAGTTATGTGGATCATGGCACACCCCCTCCTTCCAGCATTGGTGCACCAAGAACCCAGGTAAACAGACCTGGGTCAGGTCAGCTACACCCAATTCAACCACCCAAGTTTCCATAATGAATGCCAGAAGGAGTTGTGGGTAGAGTTGTGTGCTCACCAACAGCACCTTTCTCTTGCTGAGATTTGTTTCTCTTTGCTGTGGTGGCTCCAACTAGTCACCCTTCAGTTGTGCTCTCAGGTCAGCACTGATCGTTGTAGCAACCGGACAAACCAAGCTGTCACTTCCTTACATGATGCCTTTTCTTCAGCTTCATTTAGGAGGATTCCAGGCTGTATGGGCTTAGGCTAAGATCCCTGTTCAAATTTACAGTGAGGTCCTCCAGTTTGTTATTGGGACAGGCTTGTTTCTTCTAAGAATGCAGTTGCTAGGTCCTCCATTCTTATCCAATCTGAAAACATTAAAAGTTTTTCTTTAGGAAAACAAATGCCTCATACTCCTGAATCCTGGTATTAACAACTGATCACTTCTTTCCTTGATCTGATGCAGTTTGGCTCTTCTTACGTTCTTCCATATGCATCTTCATTATGTAAACATGGCACATGGCCTATAACTTAAACAGAAGCATAAGGTTAAATTATGTAAATAAAATGTAAATTTTATAATTACTAAGAAACATTGATTCTAGCAAGCTGTTTTTTAATTTGTAGAGAAGGTTACGTGTGTTATGACTTCCTTTTTTCAGAACATGATCTTCAAAACCTTGTGGCTGCATGCAGCCCTTGACCACTCTCCGTGTCACCTCAAAGCTGGCAAGACTTCACCACTTTCCCCCACATCCCAGCTGATTAGTTGACTATGAAAGAAAGAACACTGCTGTCTCACGTCCAAGATCACTTTTTTACTGCCGCAAGTACAGTAGTGGCAAAGAAACAGCATCTTCTGTAGTGATTGCTGGAGGATGGGAGAGGTGTTGATCTGTGCATGCACACATTTCAACAGGCAGAGAAGGGAGATGGAAGGAATAGTGTGTATATATGAGGATGCACACATGTATGGCTGCAAGACCCCCAGCCAGCTGTGGATGCAGCCCCCAGGAAAGAAAAGGTTGTGTTTCAGATTTCAATATATAAAAAAGAGAGAATAAAAACAAAAGGAAAATACTGGCCATGCATGTTCTCAGGAGCAGAACAAGTGGGCACCAAAGTGTAGGCTGAATGGATTTACACTGCAGAGTAGCACATGGTGAAGGAATCATCTGGTAACTTTATTACATAACCACATCAACAGCCAACTGACAGTGAGTTCAGTCTCTATATTTTTCAGTTTGTACTTTGTGGGCTGTCTTGCTTATTTGGCTTCAGGAAGAAGCAATTGTATCATTATGGCAGAAGAAATTAATGTGAATTCACTCATTCCACATATTTGCTCTTCAGTTCAGTCAGGAAATTGGCTTACAATTAAAAGCTTTTGAGAAGAAGAATATTTCCGGGGAGGATTTCCGGGGAGATGAAAGTCATCACTCAGTCTTTAATGTATAATCAGTAAGGCTGCCCCAAGACTTCACCATCACTATAAACAGATAAAATTAAGAATTAATTCTGTACTTAGAGTAAAAACAATAACAGGGTGTAGGTAAACTGGCCAAAATGAAATTACAGTCATTGGGTGTTGTTCCACCAACAGAATGCTTCTATCAGCAAAAAGGGTGTGCAATTCCAGTTTTTTGTCCCTTACAGTTCTGTTTCTCTGTAATGAACCTTCTGAAGCAGATTTAGAGGGTGTTCCATAAGGGAAATGCTATAGGTGTACAAATAAAATGTATGCCACAAATTAAAAGATGAGAACAAATGCAAAAAGGATCCCAGAGTAGTTGAAAAAACAGTGCGAGCATTACTCAAATTAAGCCCATTAGATAACTGTCACTAGATTGCCATTAACTGCACATTTACCTGGGACTAAACTCCATGGGATTCAATGAGATTTTCTTCTGAGTAAACATGCATAGGTTTGTGCTATGATTTTGGTAAATCAAAATTATATTTTCAACAAGATAAATTATGAAGGCAGATAGTTAAATTGAATTACAGTAACAGGCTTTAAGAAAATCAGAAAGAGAATACTAGCCAGAGAAATCACTGGACCATTCAATAGGTGGCAAAGATATAAATAAAGGATTGAAGAAGAAAAAGAAGGGAAATTGTACAGAAGCTGGAAGAACTCTTTAACTCACTCTTAATTTTCTGCACAAGATGCAGAGAGGCTAATGTCTGAATCATTCTTTCTAATACAGCACCTGAAAAACTGTTTTACATTGAAATAATTCTTGTAAGTGCAAGGTTCCAGTGCCAGCACAGAGAGTGTTCATCCAAGAATTCTATCATGAACATTTTGGGTCTTATAGCAAATATGTTTATTTATTGGTAATTTATTGGCTAATTTACTGGAGAAATGGAAGGTACATTAGCTGGCAGATAGCCACCACCACCACCACCATTTTTTGGGGTAGTTGATGAATCCCAGGAAATCAGAACCTAGTTTCTGCCCTGGTTAAGTAGAAAGCATTGTCAAAATGCTAATTATTGTCAAAATTATTATTGAAATATATGCAGAACAACCTGATGAAATAGAACCATATGAATAATAACAGCTCCCAATGGGTTCGGTATAATTTTTAGTCATTTCAATGGGTCAACTCAAAGAAGGATTACACCTAGATGCATCCTTATCAGACACTCACAGCCAGTTTCCTAATCATCCTTTGCCCGTGAATTTGATGGAAAATAAATCCACAGAGGGTTAAAAGTTTCTTGTTCCCCTTTCAGAAAAAAGGGGCTGTTATCAATGCAGTTGCAGGGCAAATAGTCTTTTCCTTCTCCTTTCCCTCCTTTTCCTTCTGGAAAGGCATCCCATGGCGATAAGAAGAGGAAAACGAAGGCAGCGGTCCTGCCACTTCTTCAAGGAGGCTCGCTCAGTCCTTCTGGCACGGAAAGGGTTACGGCGAAGGAGTCGGAGGGGCCCAGCGGGGAAGAGCTGGTGACGTTCCCGTCCTCTCGCTCCAATCAAGATATAATCAACAGCCCTGCTTCAAGTGGCAGAAAGCAGCGAGGGCTTCTCGCTGGCAGCCCTTCCCAGCTTTCCTTGCCGCTGGCTGGCTCCCCGGGCGCCTTCTGCCCGCCACTGCGCGCCGCTTTCCGCCTTCCCTCCCCTCCCTCCTCGGTCCCCCAGCCCATCCTTGGGCTTTACCATTTCTCCTGGTTCCTGACCCCCTGGAAGCTGCCACCCTGAAGTTTCTGGTGGTGCTCCTGGCCGCAGGGATGCTGGCTTTCCTTGGTGCAATCATTTGCATCATCGCGACCGTCTTCCCTGCGGCCAACAGCGGCAGAGCTCTCCAAGGTGCCGACAATGGCTCCAACGCCGCGGCCGCTGCCCTGCTGCCCGCCGCCGCCGCCCCGGCGGACAAGACGCTGGGCGCTCTCCATGGTGCTGGCGAGAATCCCTACGGGGGGTTCTCGGCAGGCCCCCAGGACTCGCTGCTGGACCTGCTGGCCAGCGCCCGGCCACAGCAGCACCAGCAGCTCTTCAGCCGCTTCCTGTGCACCCCGCTGACGGTGGAGTGCCCATCGGAAGGAAGCCCCCAGGGGGACAGCCCGGGCGCGGCAGCGGCAGCCAGCGAGGAGCTCTTCTTCCTGCAAAGCACGGCTGAGCAGCTCAGGCAGACGGCCCAGCAGCAGAAAGAGCAGATCCTCACGGACCAGGAGACCATCCGGGAGCTGACCACCAAACTGAGCCAGTGCGAGAACGGGCTGGAGCTGAGTTTCCAGGATAGCCCTGCGGTCTGGGGTGACCACAGGCAAGACACCATGGGTGATCTACCCTGGGACTCGCCGGCCATGATCCAAGAACTCGAGGAGGCCGTCAGGGTGCTGAAAGACAGGATCGACAAGATTGAGGTAAAGGAGTCGCCCATCGTCGCCTATCCCTGCCTTTCCCAGTTTATCTTTCCCCCCACTTGCATTCCCTTCCCGCAGCCTTTTACAAGGCTTGCAGGCTCCTTACCTTTCCCCTATGCCACAGTCAGAGGTTACTATTCTACAGCGTCAGGCACTTGCAAGCCTATGAGTAAGCAGTGGCTAGGCAAGACTCACCAGAAGGAAGCCAGAGTTTAGCCAGGTGGCGAAGATAGAAATGAAGCCAGAGTCTGCAACCCACTTCCAACACAACAAGGGGACAGATGGTAACTTCACAGTTAAAAATGAATTAACTTCTGAGTAAATGCTGCAGAGAGGGTGATGGACACATAGTTTTCCATGTTGGCTTCTCTCACCACCTTTCTTCATTCATCCTCCCCCAACCCCAGCTGATCCTACCTGATTACTAGAATATTTTAAGCAAAAAGCAAGTCTATTCCAAAATTGGAACCCCAAAACAAAAACATAAGTTATATTCCCAACAAGGATAGGATATTGGTTTTTGAACACCCTACCCTGTTTTCTTGTGTTCAGGGGCGGGGGTGGCATTTTAGTTCATATAATTTGATATAATTTAATCAGAACTTTGATACATGTTCTGGTAAATCACTTGGCTCTAGCTGGGCAGGAAGTGACTGTCTTGCTTTGGGACTTGGGGATGAAGGATGACCGTGTGCATATGGAGAGAGGAGGAAGAATACACGGCTGGCACGCTGAGTGTAGCTGTGTAAATTCCATTAAACCATCTCCTCTTATTGGATCACAAGGGATAGTTATTATGGACTACATATAGAAATATTTATAGGTGCAGAGGAATGGACAAGTGGATGGAGATTTTGAAAAGCAACAACACCCCATAAAAATAGACATGTGCTTGCTACTTCATTTAGACTACCATCCCACCACCCAAAGCCACATTGTCCCCAGGCAATATAAAATCTTTAGAAAGCATTGCATTTTCAGCTACATTTTAATTAATTCTCAGGAGACAGAGCTTTCTATGCTTCCATTGAAATACTATATATTATGAAAAGATCTAGAGGGCATTTTACATATTATAGCATCTGATAATAGAACAGTATTCTGAAACCAAATTTTGTCTTAACAGGTTCCAATCAAATTCAGTTTTGCTTTGGACTATAATTGCTCCCATCCCCCACATTTCTAGTTTTGGATATGTGTTAATCGGTTGGAAAGTTTTTTCTTTTTTAATTTCCTGTGGTGCAGCATCCTTTACTTTCAGTACTCCCAGTGAGCTACTCAGGGCAATAAAACTAACAAAAGAAGTTTTCAGAGACAGATGCAGTCAGTCATTTTTCTGCAGTAGAACTGTTCCTAAGAGGAGGTCTATTGAAGTAAATGACATGATTTTATTCCATTATACACTTCTAGACTGCACATAATATTACCACCAGCTAATGTCAAGTGATAATTGAATCTGGCTCTAAATAATTTGTCTTTTTGTTTGTGTGCTTGTATTTTATTTTATTTTTTAAAAATAATTTACAGAAAGCTGTCTAGGAAAGCAAGACATTGTTTCACATTTCTGTGCATAGAAGAGATTGGCCCAAGGGTATTTTTCCTGCTTTCTTTCCAATATTAGCACACAGCTTGGAATCCTTGCCCCAGATTTCTTTGCCTTGTCTGATTACTACTGGATGAGAGCGAATCTCACACAAAGAGAAGTAGCTATGGCTGATGTTCCCCTTGAGAGATAGTTTGTATTTTATTATTCTGCATAAAAGAGAGAAGGGGGGGAAAGAAGCTTAGACTCCCATGTTCCTTGGGTAGGTTTTGAATAGCTGATGCTAAGATCAGATTACATGCATACATCTATCAACACTGCAAGTTCCAAGGATTTGAACACCCTTGTGGGACCCATCTCTCAGTGAGTCTTCTAAGTACTTTTGTCACCAACTATTAATATTCCTTATTCTCTTTCTCAGCATTTTCTTGCTTGACAGGGAGAGAGCCAATGAGTATATAAGCAGGGACACCTCCTCCTCCTCTTTCTCACCAGCACCATTGTCGTCTGGGCCAGAGTGAAAGGCAGGTGAACCAGGGCTGGCCAACCCATAAAGCACAGTGAGGTGTCCACATGAGGTGGCAGAGCTGGAGGAGTAGATGGCATTGTGCCACTCCCCATACCAGTTTCCAGCCCAGGGGGCCCACTACCACCTCCTGCGGGTGCTTTAGAAAGTCCCAGAAGCTTCTTTGCCAATGTGGCATTTGCTGGAAAAGGAGTGTAGCTGTCAGGGCTGTTTGGGACAGCAGCTGTGGGACTCAGGATCTACCATGAGATCTTGGTCATGTCCCACAACATTTCATGAGATCTCAGACAGATATTGCAACATTGCCCAAGGAGTCCTGCACTGAGATTGGACCTGATGGATTTACTGGCTCTTTCAACTCTACTTTTTTATGATTCTATGATTCAGTCTTGGCTGTATACCAAGACATCTCACAAGAACTTGGGCATGTTCCAAGATCTTGTGAGAACCCTTGCATGATGGCAAAGGTAAACAGAGGACAGATGGATATGTAGCAGAAGAACAACAGGGAGGGAGTCAGGGAGGATTGGGCAGCAGCAGAAGTTCGGTTTCAGGTGGCAAGAGAACTTGCACCAGGCCTGAGGTGAACAAGCAAGATGCAGTGGTGAAGGGCAGGAGTAGCTCCAGGAGATTCTTGACGGTGGGCCCCTGCTGGGGCATGGGCCCCTGTCAAGTACCCGACCATTCTTTCCATGGATGCCAGCCCTTCTTATGAAACATATTTGCACACATGCACTTCTACATCAAAACATGGCTTTGGAGTTCTTTCCTTCGTCCGGAGCTCAGTGCTGAGCCTAGGAGGAATCTGTGCCTGCTACACTGGAGTTCACAGTCTTCCATTTTAACTGAAGCTATTATACCATAATGTGCAATCCAGTTTCCCATAATAATCACAAAAAAGAGAGATCTGGTGACACAGGTGATACTGTGATTGAACCTTCATGATGAATTCCTGTGAAGATTTGTGAAATCTGTACTGATCATGGGTACTGAGTGCAGACACAGCCTGCCTGTGCATTTACACAATCATCTTCAGAGTCCATTGTCACAATTCCTACATCACCCGAAAGGGTGGCAGATAGCCTCTGGAGGCAGGGCCTTCTTGGTGGGGTGCCCAAATAATAAAGTGCTCTCCCAGGAAAGTCAAAATAGATTCCTTTCCAGGGTCAAAGAATTTTTTTTCTGGTTTTCATAAGCATTTAATTTTTAACTTATGATATATGTGTTTTCCATGTATGTCACTACTGTTTGATTATTGTATTTTTATCTGTTTCTATATATTTCTTTTAACAATTTTTGTAAACCACCTTATATAAGTTTTTATATGAAGGGTGGGGTATAGAAATTCATAAACTAAATAGCCCACCTTATTCCATTATAAGACGACTTGGTTCAATCCAGGCTTCTGGGAGTTCTGTTCCTTCCAAAAATAGGAGAACGCATAATGGATGAAGCAACCCTTGGCAGAGCACATTAAGGGTGTCTCTTTTGTGGATTCCATCAGGCCCAGCTGCAAGCTAAGCTATATGGATAGGGGCATTAAAAATTCAAGTTAGAGAGACTGGCATATTTGTTAATTATTAATAATAATCATGCCTAGGGCTTATCAAAATGTTGAACCTAAGTTTATAAACCTACTTTCTTACTCCCTTCGACTACATTCTTGAAAGAACATTAGTCTTTATGTAGTGAAGTGTAACAATCTATTGAATAGAGATTGCCTTGTGTACGTGGGTTATGTATTTATTTGGGGCAGTGAAGTAATATATGTCCCCAACAGTCACTAAATGGCAGCACTGATTGATCATTTCTTTCATATAGCATTACTCCATCAAAGGGTCTCTTTCTTAACAGTAGAAACAGCCCTTATAGTTCATGAGACTGACTTGCTCTCAAGATATCTGGAAGACAGCTTCAGCTATTGGGTGATATAGAAATTAAATAAATAATAAAATATAAAACGGAAGTTGACATACACCCCCCCCACACACACACACACATGCTGACTGGGTTCAGACAACATGATAATCCACACTCAGGTTTGAGTGTGGGTTGTTGCTGAACCATGGCTTGTTACGAACCTAAGGAAAGCCACGCTGGATCAGACCAAAAGTCCCTCTAGTCCAGCACTCTGTGCACACAGTGGTAAGCCAGCTGCCCACAGGATCTCTTAAGCAGGATGGGTTCCAGACCTCTGCCTGCCCAAGCTCCTCAGCAGTGGTGATGCAGGCATGTCACCTCCAGTAGAGAAGGAGGCACATAGCCAGGGAGGCTAGCAGCAACTGATAGCCTCCCTCCTCATGGATCTGCCCAATCCCGTGGGAAAGCTTACTCACCCCTTTTCTAAGCTGAAGGGTCCTAATTGCTGTAGCCACTCCTCATAAGGGTGCTGCTCCAGCCCCCTGACCATTTTAGTTGCTCTTCTCTGTATGTTTTCCAACCCAGTAATGTCCTTTTTTAGATAAGGCAACCAGAACAGAACACAATATTCCAGGTGTGGAATAAAGATTTGTATAAGGGAAGTCAGATTTTGGCAGTTGTGTTTTCTATTCTGTTCTTAATTATGCCTAGCATAGAATTTGCCTTCTCCACAGCAGCTGACCACTAGGCCAACATTCTCATCAAGCTGTCCACCACTACCCCAAGATCTCTTTCTTGTTCAGTCACTGCTAGCTTGGATCTATTAACATATACTAAGAGTCGGGATTTTTTGACCCAACATGCATGACTCTGCATGTGCTTATATTGAGTTGCATTTGCCATTTTGATGCCCATTCTCCCAGCTTGGAGAAGTCCCTCTGGTGCACCTCACAGTCCCTTTTGAATTTAACTGCCTTAAACATTAGTGTCATCAGCAAACATGGCCACTTCACTACCCACTCCTAATGCCAAATCATTTATGAATGGGTGGAAAAGCACTGGTCAAACTAC